TGCAAGAAGCTACGCAGAAAAATCCAAAAAATGAATTTCAGATGTAAAAAGAGAAAGAAAATTTTATTGATAAAAAAACACTAGAAAAAGAAGATTAAGAAGAAAATGATGTACAAATGAAGTATACAAGAAGTTATAGGTATATTTATAAAAAATAGTTAAAAAATGTATAATTGAAATACCAAGCCCTGTGACTCTTCATTTAATGATCTTGGTAATTATTAACTTCCTACATTGTTGTTTTCATTCAGCAATAAACACGAATATGTTGAAACGCGTAAATTAAAAAACTAATGATTACATTATGACATATATTTTACTCGTCCCTCTTTGATGCTTAAATATTTCGACGAAAAAATGAAATTTGTAAACGCGAATCAATATTCTAGTATCTCATTCAAGTAATTTGTTGAATCAATTTTATTTACTTTGTACTACGTCTATTATTTAAAAAGATATTCGTATCACAGTTGTATTACACATATACGTACATATATTTAATTACAAAAATTATGTAAAATACATGTCGATAAAGATGAACGTTGTCGGTGTTCGACGTTTTGAAATTTTCCCGCCGGTGACGCTGGAGTCGCTCTCATGAGTATTCAGCCATCCCCTCCCTCTCGCGCGCCTCTACTCACAGGTTCGTCGGTCTCGACGAACCGCTAGTCGAGTTAGTACGACTTGTGACGTCGCGGTAGTTGGTTGTTTGTTTCTTGGTGTTCGTGGCGATCGTCTGATCGGCGATGTGACCGGTTTTGAAAGTGACGTGCGCTTTTTTGTACACCTTGTTACGTGTTTCGGCGCGTTCATCAGAACGACAATAATATCAGTCTTCAAGTGTAGACGCGGGGAACACGAAATACGTCCTCTCTTAAAATTTCGGCGTACATCGGCGTCCGTCACGAGAATTCAATCATTCATCTCCACGATCGACTATAACTTTCGAAAGGATCGTACGGAATACATCGTCGTTCGTTCGTTCGTTCGCGGTCCGATATCCGTCGATGTCGTTGCAACGTTTTAAACACGACGACGATTCTCGTGAAATTTCGTCCTCGCGTTCGGAGTGCGGAAAACGATATCGAATCGAAACGACGCTCGACCGCGTTTCGTCGTCTCGATTACTCGTGCTTCTCGATTAGTCGTACGATCGGTGTCTAACGGCTTGTCAGGCGGTCAGCTAATTAATTGCTCGTTGTACGATCTGGGCGACTGACATTCGCCCCTTACGTTCGTACGGGTGGCGTCGCCGTTACATCGCCTCCGAAAAGAGAGAGAGAGAGAGAGAGAGAGAGAGAAAAACGGAGTTCGACGCATCGTGTTTGCGCGTGTCCCGATCGGTTTTTCCAGTGCGTCGTTAAATCGAATTGCAAACGCGATCCCTACGGGTCGAAAGTGAGCGACGGGTAGAGAGTGTAACAGCCGAGAGGTGAGTGGATCGCAAATAGGGAACAGAAACGCGGAGGCGAGTCCTCTCTCGGCGGAGTGTCTCGCGGAATTCCGGAGTTGCAGTCGACGAGGACGAGAAAGAAAGAGAAGGCCGGTGAAACATGTCGAGGCTGCTGAAAGGCGAACCGACGGGCGGTTATGTCATTGACTGCATCGTGAATCGCCGAATGTATTAACCGACCTGACAAATGACGCGTGTCGTGGCGTGAACGAAGAAAAGAAAGAGACGGGCGGCGGAGGACGAACACACCGGATTTGACCGGGGGAACAGTTTTTCTGATCTAGCCAAAGAAAGAAAAGCAGGCCAGGCGTCGTGCCTCCCACTGCCTACCGGAAGTCATATGCCCATATACACGCGGAAAACGGTAAATCAACGTAGAGGCCATCGGCTATAACGAGCGTACACGTTTATTTTGCATTGGACCGAAGCACGCCTGCCCCCTTCACCTCTGTCTGTTTTGTTTTCCTTGGTTCGCCTATCGTCATTGTTACTCCTTTGTTTAAGGTATGTCGAAGAAACAAACATTTCTTTGCCTGTACGGATCGTATACTTGTACAGCATACGCCGAGCGAAAAGAACGCGTTCTCCATTCTCACACTTGCCATTGTGTTAATATATGAAATAAAATAACGTTAATTAATCCGCGCCAATGTCAGAGATTTTAATATCTTACTTATCCTATTGCACGTATATTTCTAACGATGACTCATCTGGTCGAAATGAATTTCTGTTTCTGTATCAATCGACCGTACTCCATTTCACCGTGACACGAACGTTAAAATGTTCCTTTTTGCTCGACGTATGCGTTATACATGCCTCGTGTTTAAATCACTGCTTTTTACGTAATGCGAAATAAGTTGAAAATCGATCGTTCACGAGCGAAGAGATCAAAGCGAGGGAAAAAAATTGGGCGCGTCGAGCGGTCGGCATTCCGCTCGTATTCTCTGACAGGTTTCGAGCGTGAAGCGTAAAAACTTGGGCGCAACAAAGCTTTAAAGTAAAGCTTTAATACGGCACGGTGTAAGCTGTTACCATAGGATTTTCAATTTCCCCATTCCTGTTTTCGCCATACTTGTTCCCCTGAGCGATTCGCAGTCCCGTTGCATTCCCGGGATTCTTGCAATTCTCTAATTTCAACTATAGTTTCGCGGTGTTTTCCTAATTCGTTAGAGCGACGTTTGAACCCGCGCACCATTCGCGGTGTCCCATTTCGACTGTCGTTTTATTTTCCCGCTGCGATTTTGAAGGGTCACGTGATTGCGGAATAACGACATTAGATGGCGTTTATTTTTCGCGGTATTTTGTCGCCTCCATGTTTGTTTGTCAGGCTTTCGCAACCTTCGATCGATGCATGTTGTTTCCATAAAATTGCTCGGAGGAAATTGTTTAAATTTTGATTGAATCGTGAATGAATCAAGTTTGACTGCACGATGCCTGCCGCAGACTTGTCATAAGTAACACATAGTATGTAACTTTGTTAAATTTACGAAACATAAATGTACATAATGACACAACTGGGCCGCGAATTTTCATGCATTTATGGGGAATTATATAACGTGTAACGTGTGTGCAAAAGTGACGCACATACGAAATTCGCACATACATGTTATTTTATTTCATATGTTCAAAGATGTATGAAATATTCAAAGCATAAACGCTCGTTTCGATATTCAGTAAATGAAACGAATCTCTGGTTAGCTTCTATTTTTTTTTTCTTTTTTCTTTTGCTTGCGTTTTCGTAGAAATACGAATTTGAATAAATATCCGCGGCAAATTCGACGATTCGATCCAATGAAATTCGCGAACATGTATCTATTCTTGTCGTTAGCGAAGTATGCTATATGCAAGCAAGGACGGTTGTTTCTAATTGGTCGTCGATGCATTAAGTCATCACGTGACCGTGGAAACAAGACATTAGATGGCGTTTATCTTTCGCGGCATTTTGACGCCATTTTTTCCCGCAGTCTTTTCAAATCTTTAGTCGTGCGCGCCGTTTCCACAAAATTTCGCGCGTTCATTCAGGAATTTGTGCTCATTAACACTAAACATACAAATGACCCCTTTTTAAAATTTACTTTAAAATCGTATATTCGTTGTTATTTCTTTCGCTAATCTGACCTTTTGTAAATTCTTATATTATCTGATTATTCGATTTCTCGTTTCCTGTTTTTCTCTTAGCTTATTTTTTATCGAGAAAAATTCTTTGCATACCTTATGTACCGCCGAGGGGTCATTTTGATCCATTATGGTAAGATAGGTAAAATATGTAAAATGCCGGTACGTTCAGTATTAATGATGATCGCGCAAGTTATAAAGATCCACGTCGCGTAACACACGATTACGAGTGAAAGATTGGACAAAGGGTGTATGCATTGTGCTGCAGGTATGAAATGCATCTGGAACTCGGAGCAACATGCGCTTCCTCCCTTCGTTTTCTCGTGTGCGGCGGCTGATTTCTTTTTTCCAGTCTCCCACCTCTCTCGTCCTCCTTCTGTTCATCCTTCTCCTCCCTTTTTGCCTCTTGTTCTCTCTCTTTCGGGCCATAAACAACCGGTGCTCGACGTTTGCCGAGGTTATTGGTTTTTGCGAGGGGCACGACAGTGCCGTATACACGCGTCCAGGGGACCCGACCTCGCGGACACGTTCCATGCTTTCTGTCTCTCTTTCCCTTCGTCCTCGCTTTCCGTGTCTTTTCATAGTTCACGATCATCTCCTTTATATCCCTGTCTAGCTGTACGTGCAGGCAATCCCGTAGGTTCATACAAAAAAATGACACACTTGTACCTCAGCGGTAGAATTCACACGAGACAAATACTTTAATTATAACATTGTCACGTATACACACACACACACACACACACACACACACAC